TATATGAATACACCTTTTAATATGATTATTTTAGGTATGACTAATTGTGGAAAATCTTTTTTTCTTCTAAAAATGTTAGAAGAAAACTTTAATAGACATTTTGATTATATTATTTTATTATGCCCAACGCTATCATATAATAAAACCTATCAAGAATGGAAAGATATAAATGATTCTGATTTAATTAAGGTAGAATGTGACCAAGATCGTGTAGATATTGTTTTAAAATATGTTAGGGATGTATATAAAGGTACAAATAGTCTTATTATACTTGATGACTGTGCGAGTTGCTTAGATGTTAAAAATAGGACATCGCAATTAATAACATTAGCTTTCAGTGCTCGTCATTATGGGCTTTCTACTATTGTGGTGACACAGCAATTGACAAGTATTGCCAAACCATATCGCGAAAATATATAGCTACATTTTATAATACAAACCGCAATGATATGAAAACCATATTTGATGATTATCTTTATGGTGTTGAAAAAGATGATATAGAAGAAATAACCAAAAAATTGAAAAATAATAAGTATGCACATTTAGAAATCCAACTTGTATACCCATACCAATGGAAAATTGTTATTCCGCAATAAAACATGTGTTATATATATATATGCCGAAGCGTAAAGAGCCTGAAACAATTGACGATCTAATTAATGAGATTGATTCTGCAAATGATATTATCAAAGATGATGTATGTGATGATAATATACAAGATCAACCGCAAGAGGGTTTTAATAAAAGAGATCAACTACTTAAACTAGCTGAAAATGCTGATTTAGACAAATCAGTTGCTTACATTAAAAAATGTAGTCAAAAAATTATTAATAAATTATACACTGAATACGAGAAAAAAAGATTACAAAAAGCTAATGAGTTTTTAACTGATTTAGTTATATCAAAATTTTCAGATATATTAAAAGGGTTTGATGCTATTGAAGATCCCAAAGAATTAACAAAACAGCTTAAATCAGACGACCTTTTAAAACGAGATGTGTACAGTTTAGTAGAAAAAATATCACCAATGTTGCCGTTTCTAGGTGTTTTATTTGGTGGAATAACAACCGTTAAACATATTTATGAACATAAAAATAATAAACCGGATATAAAATCTGAGGAATAATATAAATGAGCTTATTTTATGGTTATGATAAAACAGATATTAATGTAAATATACAAGGATCTGTAGATAAAACACATCTATCAGATAACTACTATACTAAAACTCAAGCTGATGGTAAATTTAATGACTACTATACTAAAACACAAGCTGATGGTAAGTATGCTTTGACTTCTAATTTATTAAAATATTATACTAAAACACAAGCTGATAATAAATATGTTTTTGTTTCAAGATTAGCCAACTATTATACAAAGAATGAAACAAATGGTAAGTATGCTTTAAGTTCTAATTTAAATAAATATTATATTACACAAAGACTGAAACAGATGGTAAGTATGCTTTAAATTCTAATTTAACTAACTATTATACTAAAACACAAGCTGATGGTAAATTTAATGACTACTATACTAAAACACAAGTTGATGGTAAATATTATACCAGAGGCCGCGGAACCGGGGGGGCATTGGGGGCAAGTGCCCCCCCACGTTTTGCAACAGGGAAAAATGTGCCCTTTTTCTGGAACGAAAGTGCCCTTTTTCATGGTATAGAAATGCCCTTGTTTTAGGTAAAATTGGACTGAAGAAGTTTATCTTAGATACAAGTAGCCCCGAGAGTAGAACTAAGTCTGTCGGCATCATGCGAAATCAGCTATAGCTTAGTTTTTGATTTTGATTACCCAGATCGATCAAAAATCGCGTTTGTCGATTGAGGTTGTCTTCGTTTGTCAACTGTTACTTGCATAAATGCCTTGAAGACAAACTTGCAGCGTCAACGAGACAACTTCTCTTTGTTTTAAGACAAAGTAGTTGCTTCAAGCAAGGCTATCAACTTTGCAGGCGATCCAACACAACCAAGACCGAAGAAAGTTCCGTGGCGCCTTTACACGGAGATGGAAAGCAACGCCCACCATGCCCAGTATGTTGAGGCAATTGATGCGTGCTTGGCTTCACTACAGGAGCGACTTTTAGAAGGTGACATCAATTGAAACCATAACATCAATATTGTCAACCGAAGAAAATAACTCATCGCAGATTGTCATGGAAATGTTAAATGTTGTCCGACTCTTGCAGATTTACCTTCTGGCTCCAATGAGAGCAGCCTCTGGAGAACGATCTTTTTCATGCCAGCGGCTTGTCAAGACACATCTCAGGAGCACAATGACGGCAGCACGCTACAATAATCTTATTGTTATGCATGTAAACAAGGCCAAAACTGACGAACTGGACTTACGTTTAATAGCTAAGGACTTTGTTCTGAAAAACGAACGTAGGGTTAGATTTTTTGGGAAATTTTCATGTAGTCATCTTAGTTCAATTTGTTAGCACGCACGCCGAGCAGTAGAGAATACGCATAGCATTCTAAGAATGTCTACCAATATTTTGCAGACTTTGAAACTTAATCATGATTCATGAAGCAATGCATATCTGTAATATACTAAAACAGTAAGCTGCAAACTCACATGCCCTTTTCGGTCAGTGCCCCCCCCCCCTTTTGAGATACTTCCGCGGCCCCTGTATTATACTAAAACCCAAGCTGATAATAAATATGTTTTCACTTCTAATTTAAATAACTATTATACTAAAACACAAGCTGATAATAAATATGTTTTTACTTCTAATTTAAATAACTATTATAATAAAACACAAGCTGATGGTAAATTTAATGAGTACTATACTAAAACACAAGCTGATGGTAAATTTAATGAGTACTATACTAAAACACAAGCTGATGGTAAGTATGCTTTCACTTCTAATTTATTAAAATATTATACTAAAACACAAGCTGATGGTAAATTTAATGACTACTATACTAAAACACAAGCTGATGGTAAGTATGCTTTGACTTCTAATTTATCCAAATTCTATACAAAAAATGAAATCGATAGCAGAGTAAATGGTAAAGTAGTATACCATAGTAATCAATAAATTACAACTCAAATGTTAGTAGCCAACAAGATATTATAAATATTCTTTTTAACAATATTAAATTTATTGAATTTACACTTCTATTTATAAATACATCAGATAAATCTAAAACAATTAAATTAGATATTATGGTAGATAAGATTAACAAAAAATTTATCATTAAAATAACAAATGATAACGAAAAAAATATAGCTGATGCAATACTAGATTTATATCATGTATACTGTGTTGATGATGATTTAAACAATATTTCTATTATTATTGACCCAAAAGTATCTAACTATTCAATTAATTATAATGAATAGGCAATAAAATGGAATAAAGCATTTAATGGATTATCAAAAATACAAGTTTATTCACAACATACATCTACATTGTCTATGGTATATAATGGTTTTTCATCAAATTTTGCGGCTACTATAGAAGATAATATTCTAGCAACTAAAAAATTTGTAAATGATGAAATCGAAAAATTAAAAAAATTTATTAAAGATAACTATCAATCTAAAACTGAAGATGAAGATGAAGAATAATCCTCATGTTTGACTATATATCACATAACTTTTGTAACCAGTAATTAATACAAAACGGTTTACCGCATATATACCTTTTGTAATAACTGCTTAATGCAGGCAGTTTGTAAAACAAAAATTATATAAAACATTGTATTATTATACATGCACTGATATTTACATGTGCTGGTTACATTAAACAACCATTATTAAAAACATGCACTAAGACACGTGTCTGACAGACAAACTAAAAAAACATATAGATTCCATATTTTGTAAAGAGCATATGTGTGTCTGTTGCGCTCAAAAATCGATATTTAGTACCACTAGTTTGGAAAAAAGCATTTGTGTGTCGGTGGCGCTCAAATTTCCCGGCTTGGAGCAGGAAATTTTCGCGGAGACAATAAGCTAAAAAAATGCTTTGTAAATCGAGAATTCTTACCCCATTGATTAAACCACTTTTATTAAACCACGCGCCGGGTTCTGAAACAGCTATTTAGTTTCCATAGTTTTGTAAAATAAATCCTTTGATTAAAAAACACGCGCCGGTACAAAAAAAATAAACAGCTATTTAGTTTCCATAGTTTTGTAAAATCGAGTTTTTTTACCCCTTGATTGGAAAAAAAATTGTAAAAAAGCATTTGTGTGTCTGTGGCGCTCAAAATTCCCGGCTTGGAGCCGGAATTTTTCGCCCCTACAAACAATTTAAAAAGATGCTTTATTAACAATTGGTTGTTAAAGATAGTTTTTAAAAGAGCATATGTTAATCCTCTACCATTCTCGAATATTCTTCGAATATTCATCGAATAAAAAGAGCGACTCCAATTTTTCACTTCGTGAAAAATCTCCCGCCATCGTCGCTCGAAAGGATTCTCAGGGGCTCCATCCCCTGCTCAATTTTAGCTACGCTAAAATTTGCGCTGCCGAGCCCCTTCCGAACAGATGCTTTGTTACCATTTATTTGTAAAATTTAAACGCACCTATATATTTCAAAAACATATAGATTCCATATTTTTAAACGATAGATTGTAAACTGGAGATTTTAACCCACCTTTATAGTACATGAGGATACAAGCGCAAAAATAACCTGTTAAAACAGGTTCTTTTTTGAGCTAGTACCCCCATGTACTATACTACTTTCTACTTATGGATTTATGCACAACTTCTGATGCTCAGGTTTAAACGATAAGGAGCTCCCAATAGCCCAAAGCATCAAGGCCGACTTTTAGTAATAATAATAATTTCAGAAATTACAATTTTTTATCCTATCAAAAATGATAGTATATGGCTTTCTGTTTGTTGATGTGAGTGTGAAAGTCATCAATTTCGTCTGCATGTAGTGCTGTGATTGGGTCATCTACGTAGCGGAACCAAAAACCCATACGAGTTTATCATGTTGGATAAATGTAGTGTAAAATGTATCCGTGCATCCAAACATAAAAGTTAACTTTTAATGTCATATTCACTTTCAGTCTTTTTCCAAAACAATTTACAATAAAAATTAAATAATCAGGTATATTACATTGTATCAATGAATACCACAGGCTATAGATTCACCAGAAATGAGGTGAAATATCATCTAAATACGTCGTGGAAACTGTTTTTCTTTATATCTATAAAATAAGATCTCTACAGCATCAATGATTTCTTAATTGCTACTTTTTTACCCCCTACAGGTACTGTTGTATCTAAATTGTTTATTGATGTAGTTCGCTTTAATTAAAATAGAAAAATTTCTTAAGTTCTGCTTTGTTTTTCAATTCTTCATTTGACCTGACAGCAGCATGTACCCGAACAGGGAGATTAGGAAATGTTCGGAGAAAATACGTCCTGTAATCGCCAATCTTATAAAATGGTTCTGGTTGTGGTAGAGGTCGTGGTCGATCGTCCCAATGCTGATCAATATTTCGAATAAGTCTTAAGCATTCTGTCCATAAAGATTTATAGGCCCTTCCATTCACCAAATAATCATAAACATCACAATCCATTTGACTTTTCAAATGTACGGATTCACTATTCAATTGTTGAGCGACACTTGACTGGGGATCATTTTTCTTAATCTGTTGAAGGTTCCCAACTTTACTTAACATTTCAAACTTCTCATCCTCTGACATGAGAAACGGGTGTTTCAATGCTTCGTTAGAATATGGTCTGTCTTCAGGTTTTAGCTTTAACATCCACGACAAAAGGTCCTTTAGTGTTTCATCCTTGATTTCTTTCAAACCAACAAGGTCTCCCCTTAGCATGTTGTCCAGTCTATACCGTTGAATTCCAAAGGGATGTTTTCCTTTTGTTGTTACATAATATGCTACCATCCCTGCATTCTAAAATAATAAAAAGCGTTACATCAAAATGCAATTTCACAACATTGAGTTTCTTTACAATTTACAAATACAACTTACAACCTACACTTACATATACATCAGACCTTCTTTTGTAACGCGCTTTATCAACAGAATCATCATTTTCGCAATATGATTCAGGAGCTATCCAATGCAAAGTTCCCATGGAAGTATTGCTTTCATATGTTGTAGAATCATCCTTCAATATTCGACTAATGCCAAAGTCAGCTATCAGAAAGTTGTCTTGTGAGTCTCGGAGAACATTGGTAGGTTTTAAATCACGATGAAGAATGCGATTTTCGCCACTATGAAGATCAGCTAATCCTTGCAAAATTTGTCTGAGAATTTTGGGAAGAGCGTTTTGAAGATCACTAAGAGAAGAAGATTTCACATAACTCTCCAACGATTCTTCACATAAGTCTAATATTAAATAGACATACTCCGTTCCAGTATCTTCTTTTAAGAATGAATAATTCACAACATATTTCGATTTCTTTGCGTTGAATTGATTTAAAATTTCCTTTTCTTTCTGTGCAAGCTTCATGCAGTTGTCTCGACGTATTCGTTTCACTGCTTTGCCGTAACCATCCTTTCCCAGTCCAAGAAAAACACGGGTCTCGTTACTTCCTTTACCGATGCAAAAATCATCCGAAAAAATCACACGTACATCACTCACTTGTTCAACCTCTACACTGCCATTGCGTGCACTTTTAAGCAAATTTGAAAACATTTCTTTATGGCTCTTAGATTTATCATTGTATTTCCACTCTTGAAACTTTGATTCTAAAAAAATTCGATAAAAGAATTAAATTCATGCATGGGTAAAAGAAACGCATATTAACACCGCATATTTTTAAAATCCTTATCAATAACTACTTATATGAAAGAATGTTTTATGTAGTGCGGTGTTTGAAATTAAATGAAGATATGATCTTTGCACTTTGCTGGACAAGTTAAGCAATTGTCTCAGGACCTGAAAAAATCAGGTGACTCAACGGGATTCGAACCCATGACCTCTGCGGTGCCGGTGCAGTGCTCTGACCAACTGAGCTATGAAGTCACACAGTGGTGAGTAGGTCAATATTGTTGGGCTCATGTTTTCTCGTGAAAGGAATGTCGTATGAATGTTTTATGCAGTGCGGTATTGAAATTATGAAGATATGATCTTCGCACTTTGCTGGACAATTTAAGCAATCGTCTCAGGACCTGAAAAAATCAGGTGACTCAACGGGATTCGAACCCATGACCTCTGCGGTTACCGGTTGACCTGCTCACAACTGTGCGACTTCATAGCTCAGTTGGTCAGAGCACTGCACCGGCACCGCAGAGGTCATGGGTTCGAATCCCGTTGAATCACCTGAAGTTTTTAGGTTCATGAGACAATTGCTTAAATTGTCCAGCAAAGTGCGAAGATCATATCTTCATTTAATAACTACTTATGATAGACATAGCATAAATTTCTTAATTGTGCAATCAAATCTGGTAACATTGAGGTTAGCTTATACCAAAAAATTAATTACAAAAAGTTTTTTTATTCAAATATTTTATTGATTTTCGTCGAGGAATAACCTTAAATTTTTTAAACATATTAAGTTAAAATTTTGAGAGCATGTTTTTTACACTCGTCTTTTAGGGGCTAAATGCATGATCCGGTAGCCGAGATTGAGCAAAGCTTTAAATGACTTTGGCAAATGGAAATGATTCAATACTCATCAACAGATAAATCTTCTCGAGCATTTTCATAACATTCTCATTTAACTAAATTAATAATTACGCAAAAATTTAAAAATGAAAACAACCAAATTGGCGTAATTGGAAAATGTTAACGAGAACGACTTGTGGCGCTTAACAACGTGAAATGATTTCGAGGCCGTTAAAGGGGGAAAAACTTCAAGCTTAAAAATTACAATTGTTTGTGAAAGGCCACAAGTCATTCCTGGTGAATGGTGAAATTCTAAATCTAGGCCAAACTGGTTGTTTCAATTTTAAATTTTTTGCTCTGTTATTAAATCAAAATGTTGTGAAATTCCTCAAGAAGATTTATCTCATGGTAAGTACCGACTTGTTTCCACTTGCCAAATAACGCTTTAACGCCTTAACGCCTTAACGCCTTGCTGAATTCCAGTTAGTGAAGTCAGGATCATTTAAACACCCTCTTACCGGATGAACTTTCTCATGTTTTCTGTTAAACTTTTAATCTTGAAATGCAATCAAATCCACAAATATTATTCTCTCAAACTTTGTTTTGATATCTGATACGTACTGTTCCTCTAATGCACCTTAGTAAAGTGACGCTTGTTATCTTTATCCCCGTAAACTAAAGCTCTACCTCGTGTTTTTTCTCATTCTCGTGCAGCATTGCTGGTATCATTTTCCCCTTGCTAAAATAAATATGGTTATTTGCAGTATTTAACTATTTTATCCAACATATGATGATTATTTGTAAGAAACAATTTGTCTGTCATGTGCCTGAGTATTCAAGGAAAATTCCGTTTTAATGAAATTTTTACCAAAGAAGAAAAGAAATCATGCCATATCAATAATTTTTTTATCAATACGATAAAAGTAAGCCATTCAAATTCTTGCCATATTTTTCAGTTCATTTGACTTTCACAAGAATTTGGCATTCACAAGATATTATTCGACCACAAATGAAGATATGATTAGCTCCCTCCCCATTAAACGTTACAGTTTCGGCACTCTATACAGTAGTCCGTGCTACAATATCTGAGAAAACATGATACAGCCATTGAGTTCTGTAAGCGATATTTCAGCAGCAGCGTTATTAAACACCCCTCTCCCATTTCATTAAAAGTTATAGTTTCGGCCCTCTAAACAGTGGTCCGTGCTAAAATATCTGAGTAAACATGATACAGCCAATGAGTTCTGTAAGCGGTATTTCAGCAGCAGCGTTATTCCTGCTTAATCTTGGGGTTTAAGTCGTAAGTCCCTTGGTCAGATTCACGTGCACTTTTTAATGGTGGTCATCAAGCCAGTTGAAAATCATCAATTAAGACACAGTATGAATCATAAATAAGATTTTTGGACTCACTTGCTCTTCTAATAAAGTCCAAATAATTATATTTGTTTATTTCGAGATTAGTGGGAGTAATGTTTTGAAATCAATGAATAAAGTCGTTGTTTTTATGTTTTGCGATTAGTAACGTTATTTGCTTATATATTTTTTGGAAACTTTCTTGTAGAAAGAACTGATACAGCAAAGTTTATGCTCTATGCAACTTTTAAAATGCAATTGTAAGTTAAAAGTATTCAAATTTTAGTTCTAAGCTGGAAAATTATCTTTGTGGATGTTCACATTAAAGAAGTATATTTAGCAAGGAGACAGCTCAAAAAAACATGTAATTTTCAGTAAGTTTAGAATTTAGATGATCGTTTAATAAATGTGAAATTTAATGCTACATTTGTCATAATGTAGACAAATGAGAAAACATAATGTAGACATTGAGAAACTGATTCATTTTCCATATGATTTTGAGGTATTTTACTTCCAATGAATAGGAATTTTTATTTATTGAAGTATATTAAGCAAGTCGATTTGATGGTGGCCGTTCTTTGCATGATTTTCAATGTCATTAGCTAGGTATTGCATGCATGGTGGTGCAAACGTGAGTATAACAGTATATACAAAGGATAGTTTGTTGAGAAGTTATAAAAACTTCTCAACAAACTATCCTTTGTATATACTGTCATACTCACGTTTATACAAATAAACGTTACTTTAAAAAAATAGGTTGCATGATGTCATTATCACCTCATGATCATCTTAATTTCAACTGAATGATAACGTGCTTCAAGTACAAATTGTAAAGTGACAAGATTTTAATGTCATGATTAAAACAGATTAAACCAGCCGCAAATGTTACCATTCAGTGTTGCTTAGACATGTGATGAAAAAAACTCATATATTTCATAATATTTGTTAATGTAAAAGGTTGATTGAAGAATGTATTCAAAGAAAATTAGTTGGTGATGTTTTCTTAAATGTTTCAACACTATCGATGCTGTAAACCAGTAGCAAAAAAAATTAATTTCTATCTGGAAAAAAGTTATACTCCGACCAATCTCCTGTACTCTAACAAAGAAAATAGTAATTAACGTAATCAAACACAAACACTTTTCCAACAGTTGGTCTAACATGAACACTTCTAAAATGCAGGGTCGACTTGTATGGTGTACATCACTTTAAGATTTATTTTAAAAGGTTTTAGTCCATTTATTATAATACTTTTTCTTCAATACAACTTATGAAATGTAGTTAATTTGAGTACTTTATAAAAAGAATTTAACCACACAAGCTGTGTATTTCTATTTTAACAACAAGTAAAAAAATGAATTTACAGCTAGCACTCGAAAAGAAATAACACAAATAAATTGGAAATTTGGGATAGTAACTTTTTAAAACTATATAATGCATGTCGTTTTGTGCATTAGTACCAAAATTTCGTATACATATATTACGCACTGTTTTACATGACTGACATTTTCAAGTAATAAAATGACCTTACAATTGGAAAGATTGAGGGGGCAGTATATATTTTCACGTAATGAACCAGCTTTCATTAGGCGTAATTTTACCAATAAATGTAGATAAACAAACTTCAGAAATTACGACTGCCAAAGAGAATTTTGATAAAATACAAGACAATAGACACTGTATATAGTAAACATTATTTATCTAGATTGAATAATGTTTACTATGTACGAAGTGTCTATTGTCTTGTGTTTTACCAAAATTTTATGAAGCAAACAGCAAATGTTTTGTAAAACGAAAATAAACACAAAACAAAAAACCATGGTATGTGTGGAAGTCAAAAAAGAACATTAGAAAAGTGGGTTTTATTATCTAGGAGACACAATTTCAAACTATATATTTTCTGCTGGCAAAAACTAGAGGAGTGAAAGCCAGTCCTTGCAAAACAGCAAGAATGAAAAAAGAAAAGAAAGCTTCATTTCAGGACAAATAATACCATATAGCTAATTGACTTTTACTAACCTCGACTGCTCGGTCTTTATTGAGAAATCTCGGACCTCTGTTTTTATCACAAACCTCTCCCTAAGGGTATCGGTCAGTACAAATAAATTCAGTCCGATAATTCTACGTAAAGACCTCACACTCGGTAATTAAGGGCGTTGTAATGAATTCAGACATTGATAAGTGTTAACGAACTGTTGTCGCCAATCTCTGTCGAGTATCTTAGTAATTATAAGAAAAGGTTGCTAAAATCCGTTACTTTTAGCTATCTGTTTTGAGGACAAGAAAACTACTACAAAGTTATACGAATTTATGCAACCTGTCAAAGAACGAAAATTGTAAACAGACACAAACATTAACACATTTTTTAGCGTTGTTGTTTAATTACTTATGGATTTTAAAGAAAAGTTTGGAATTATTATCATACATTATCGTCATACACAGTATATATATATATTCAAAAGTTTCCTAAAGAATATGCAAGCACCCAAAAGCCTAGAAAATCGACGAATTTTGTTCCTAAACAGAGCAAATGAATGGTTACTTAATTAATAGCTACTTCGAAGTTCGAATTCATTTCTCGTTGACGATTCTTTCCTTTAATGTATATGGAATCCTTGCCGAATCACTCAATTTGTTGAGAAGGCTGCCTTTCCCTACGGAGTCAAGGCAATTAAGAAAGATCGGTCAAACATAGAAATTTTATCGCGATATGTGGCTTGTTTACTTCAATCTCGGAGCTATACTTTCATTAAACAATCAACTCGTCGTCGTACGTTTTTGTCAGTTATGAAAAGAAATTGAACTGTATTCCTGGAAAATAGACGAGCGAGAAAAAGTGATCGCTATGATATTTTTGAATTAGTAGACAAGAACTGCAAGGGATCTAAGAATTGAAAAAATCATCTGCAACACCTTTATAAAGTTAGGGAAACATCCTGCAGGAAACATAATGACTTGAATTGCTATAATAATGTTTGGTATCAATGTCAGTCACGCTATGTCAATGTAGTTTCAATAATTTATTAATAGCAAAATAGCAGTTAAACATTTCATACAGACCACGATTTGATAATATGTAGATACATGTTTTGTTAAGCTTTTGCTATCTTTGTTGCTCAAATCATTTATTTATGTTTTATATTAAGCAACTTGATAAAACTAGATCTCAGTAAACAAATACATTATAAGTCTAAATTTAACTCGTAATAAAATTTCTACTTTCAATCCTGTAATTTAATATCTGTGACATGTATAAATGATATAATATTTTCTTGCTGTAAGAAGTAATACACTGAAAATGGCATAAGCATGCTGAAATATATCTGTTCTAAAATCATCCTGAATTATTTCCAATGTTTGTCAATTTTTCAGTCTATGATTTTTTGATGACATAATTTTCACAGAGCTGGGTTTGGTGAAATATAAATTTTTCTAAGATGTCAAAGACTCAAGGTGTGTTTAAATTTTGATACGTATATGTTATAAGATTTAAATGTATGCTTTAATTCTAGGAGTCACTTTGAAATAGACTCCAGGTATAAGGAATATTATTATCTCTAAATTGGTGCAATGTTGTATTTTAATTTTACAACTAACAATGAGTTTACAGCTGTTATAAATCTTGGGCAATGTTTGTTTGATTAAAATGTTTTGTTTCCATCTCACTGTTCTTTAGAGCGGGTTTTATGTATATGTTTTTAGTTTATAGGTAGATTTTTGAATTATTCTTTTTGTTGATTAATGTAAATATGAATCCCAACTGGTTTTAATTATTGCTTTAGCTCTTTTGTTTGTCTACAACTAAAATGAACAACCCAGTCCTCACATGAAACAATTTGTATGTCAATGAACCACTTAAATCTAGGACTTTAAATTCAATATGAAGAAATTTTTTTGCATTATACTATGAAATTTGTATATATTCTTACCCAAAGATTTTTTTTTAATTTCCAGAGCTTTTTCGTGAACCTCTTTAGCTTTGTCATAGTTTTCAGTTTTTTCAAGCACATTACCAAGATTGTTTAAAGACGCAGCGACATTAACATGATTTGGACCTAACGATTGTTTTAGAATTTCCAGAGCTTTGTCGCTAAACTCTATAGCTTTGTCGTAGTTTCCAGTTTTATAATACACCAAACCAAGATTGTTTAAAGTCGCAGCGACATCAACATGATTTGGACCTAACGATTGTTTTCGAATTTCCACAGCTTTTTCGTAAAACTTTATAGCTTTGTCGTAGTTTCCAGTATTATAATACACATTACCAAGATTGATGAAAGAACCAGCAACATCAACATGATTTGGACCTAACGAATGTTTTCGAATTTCTAGAGCTTTTTCGTGAAGCTCTACAGCTTTGTCGTAGTTTCCAGTTTTTTCAAACACCAAACCAAGATTGTTTAAAGAAACAGCAACATCAACATGATTTGGACCTAACGATTGTTTTCGAATTTCTAGAGCTTTTTCGTAAAACTCTATAGCTTTGTCGAAGTTTCCAGTATTATAATACGCATTACCAAGATTGATGAAAGAATGAGCAACATCAACATGATTTGGACCTAACGATTGTTTTCGAATTTCTAATGCTTTTTCGTGAAGCTCTACAGCTTTGTCGTAGTTTCCAGTTTTTTCAAACACCAAACCAAGATTGTATAAAGTCGCAGCGACATCAACATGATTTGGACCTAACGATTGTTTTTTAATTTCCAGAGCTTTTTCGTAAAACTCTTTAGCTTTGTCGTAGTTTCCAGTTTCAATAAACACCAAACCAAGATTGTTTAAAGTCGCAGCGACATCAACATGATTTGGACCTAACGATTGTTGTCGAATTTCTAGAGCTTCTTCGTAAAACTTTATAGCTTTGTCGTAGTCTCCAGTTTTATCAAACACCACACCAAGATTGCTTAAAGATGCAGCGACATCAACATGATTTGGACCTAAGGATTGTTTTCGAATTTCTAGAGCTTTTTCGTGAAGTTCTACAGCTTTGTCGTAGTTTCCAGTTTTTTCAAACACCAAACCAAGATTGTTTAAAGAAACAGCAACATCGACATGATTTGGACCTAACGATTGTTTTAGAATTTCTAGATCTTCTTCGTAAAACTTTATAGCTTTGTCGTAGTTTCCAGTATTATAATACACATTACCAAGATTGATGAAAGAATCAGCAACATCAACATGATTTGGACCTAACGATGGTTTTTTAATTTCCAGAGCTTTTTCGTAAAACTCTATAGCATTGTCGTAGTTTCCAGTATCATAATACACCGTACCAAGATTGTTTAAAGACGCAGCGACATCAACATGATTTGGACCTAACAATTGTTGTCGAATTTGCAGAGCTTTTTTGTGAACCTCTTTAGCTTCCTCGTACTTTCCAACTTTTTCAAAGACCACACCAAGATTGTGTAAAGACGCAGCGACATCAACATGATTTGGACCTAACGATTGTTGTCGAATTTCTAGAGCTTTTTTGTGAACCTCTTTAGCTTTGTCGTAGTTTACAGTTTCAGTAAACACCAAACCAAGATTGTTTAAAGAACTAGCGACATCAACATGATTTGGACCTAACAACTTTTGTCGAATTTCTAGAGCTTTTTCGTGAACCTCTTTAGCTTTGTCGTAGTTTCCAACTTTTCAAACACCACCAAGATTGTTTAAAGACGCAGCGAAATCAACATGATTTGGACCTAACGATTGTTTTCGAATTTCCAGAGCTTTTCGTAAAACTCTATAGCTTTGTCGTAGTTTCCAGTATTATAAACACCATACCAAGATTGTTTAAAGACGCAGCGACATCAACATGATTTGGACCTAACGATTGTTTTCGAATTTCGTGAAGCTCTATAGCTTTGTCGTAGTTTCCAGTTTTTCAAACACCAAACCAAGATTGTTTAAAGACGCAGCGACATCAACATGATTTGGACCTAACGATTGTTTTAATTTCCAGAGCTTTTCGTAAAACTCTATAGCTTTGTCGTAGTTTCCAGTTTCATAATACACCATACCAAGATTGTTTAAAGAAACAGCAACATCAACATGATTTGGACCTAACGATTGTTTTCGAATTTCTAGAGCTTTTCGTAAAACTCTATAGCTTTGTCGTAGTTTCCAGTTTTCATGACCAAACCAAGATTGTTTAAAGATGCAGCGACATCAACATGATTTGGACCTAACGATTGTTTTCGAATTTCCAGAGCTTTTCGTGAACCTCTTTAGCTTTGTCGTAGTTTCCAGTTTTTCAAACACCAAACCAAGATTGTTTAAAGACTCAGCGACATCAACATGATTTGGACCTAACGATTTTTTCGAATTTCTAGAGCTTTTCGTGAACCTCTTTAGCTTTGTCGTAGTTTCCAGTTTTTCAAATACCACACCAAGATTGTGTAAAGACGCAGCGACATCAACATGATTTGGATCTAACGACTGTTTTCGAATTTCTAGAGCTTTTTCGTGAAGCTCTGCAGCTTTGTCGTAGTTTCCAGTTTTTTCAAACACCAAACCAAGATTGTTTAAAGTCGCAGCGACATCAACATGTTTTTGACCTAACAATTGTTTTTTAATTTCCAGAGCTTTTTCGTAAAACTCTATAGCATTGTCGTAGTTTCCAGTACCAGAATACGCCGTACCAAGATTGTTTAAAGAAACAGCAACATCAACATGATTTGGACCTAACGATCGTTTTCGAATTTCTAGAGCTTCTTCGTAAAACTTTATAGCTTTGTTGTACTTTCCAACTTTTTCACTGACCACACCAAGATTGTGTAAAGATGCAGCGACATCAATATGATTTGGACCTAACGATTGTTTTCGAGTTTCAAGAGCTTTTTCGTGAACCTCTTTAGCTTTGTCGTAGTTTCCAGTTTTTTCAAACACCAAACCAAGATTGTTTAAAGACTCAGCGACATCAACATGATTTGGACCTAACGATTGTTCTCGAATTTCCAGAGCTTTTTCGTAAATCTCTTCAGCTTCGTCGTACTTTCCAGTTTTTTCAAAAACCAAACCAAGATTGTTTAAAGACGCAGCGACATCAACATGATTTGGACCTAACGATCGTTTTCGAATTTCTAGAGCTTTTCGTGAAACTCTATAGCTTTGTCGTAGTTTCCAGTTTTTCAAAAACCAAACCAAGATTGTTTAAAGACGCAGCGACATCAACATGATTTGGACCTAACGATCGTTTTCGAATTTCTAGAGCTTTTTCGAAAAACTCTAAAGTTTTGTCGTAGTTTCCAGTATCATAATACACCATACCAAGATTGTTTAAAGAAACAGCAACATCAACATGATTTGGACCTAACGATTGTTTTCGAATTTCTAGAGCTTTTCGTAAAACTCTATAGCTTTGTCGTAGTTTCCAGTTTTTCATGACCACACCAAGATTGTTTAAAGATGCAGCGACATCAATATGATTTGGACCTAACGATTGTTTTCGAATTTCCAGAGCTTTTTCGTGAACTCTATAGCTTTGTCGTAGTTTCCAGTTTTTCAAACACCAAACCAAGATTGTTTAAAGACTCAGCGACATCAACATGATTTGGACCTAACAATTTTTTCGAATTTCTAGAGCTTTTTCGTGAACCTCTTTAGCTTTGTCGTAGTTTCCAGTTTTCAAATACCACACCAAGATTGTTTAAAGACGCAGCGACATCAACATGATTTGGACCTAACGATTGTTTTCGAATTTCCAGAGCTTTTCGTGAAACTCTATAGCTTTGTCGTAGTTTCCAGTTTTTCAAACACCAAACCAAGATTGTTTAAAGACGCAGCGACATCAACATGATTTGGACCTAACGATTGTTTTGAATTTCCAGAGCTTTTCGTAAACTCTATAGCTTTGTCGTAGTTTCCAGTTTCATAATACCAAACCAAGATTGTTTAAAGAAACAGCAACATCAACATGATTTGGACCTAACGATTGTTTTCGAATTTCTAGAGCTTTTCGTAAAACTCTATAGCTTTGTCGTAGTTTCCAGTTTTTCACACCACACCAAGATTGTTTAAAGATGCAGCGACATCAACATGATTTGGACCTAACGATTGTTTTCGAATTTCCAGAGCTTTTCGTGAACCTCTTAGCTTTGTCGTAGTTTCCAGTTTTTCAAACACCAAACCAAGATTGTTTAAAGACTCAGCGACATCAACATGATTTGGACCTAACGATTGTTTTTGAATTTCCAGAGCTTTTTCGTGAACCTCTTTAGCTTCCTCGTACTTTCCAACTTTTTCAAATACCACACCAAGATTGTGTAAAGACGCAGCGACATCAACATGATTTGGATCTAACGACTGTTTTCGAATTTCTAGAGCTTTTTCGTGAAGCTCTGCAGCTTTGTCGTAGTTTCCAGTTTTTTCAAACACCAAACCAAGATTGTTTAAAGTCGCAGCGACATCAAGATGATTTGGACCTAACAACTGTTTTCGAATTTCCAGAGCTTTTTCGTAAAACTCTATAGCTTTGTCGAACTTTCCAGTATCATAACACACGATACCAAGATTGTATAAAGACGCAGCGACATCAACATGATTTGGACCTAACGATTGTTTTCGAATTTCCAGAGCTTTTCGTGAACCTCTTTAGCTTTGTCGTAGTTTCCAGTTTTCAACACCAAACCAAGATTGTTTAAAGATGCAGCGACATCAACATGATTTGGACCTAACGATTGTTTTCGAATTTCCAGAGCTTTTCGTGAAACTCTATAGCTTTGTCGTAGTTTCCAGTTTTTCAAACACCAAACCAAGATTGTTTAAAGACGCAGCGACATCAACATGATTTGGACCTAACGATTGTTTTAATTTCCAGAGCTTTTCGTAAAACTCTATAGCTTTGTCGTAGTTTCCAGTATCATAATACACAATACCAAGATTGTTTAAAGATGAGCGACATCAACATGATTTGGACCTAACGATTGTTTTGAATTTCCAGAGCTTTTCGTAAAACTCTATAGCTTTGTCGTAGTTTCCATAATAATACACAATACCAAGATTGTTTAAAGATGCAGCAACATCAACATGATTTGGACCTAACGATTGTTTTCGAATTTCCAGAGCTTTTCGTGAACTCTATAGCTTTGTCGTAGTTTCCAGTTTTTAAACACCAAACCAAGATTGTTTAAAGACCCAGCGACATCAACATGATTTGGACCTAACGATTGTTTTCGAATTTCCAGAGCTTTTCGTGAACCTCTTTAGCTTTGTCGTAGTTTCCAGTTTTTCAAACACCAAACCAAGATTGTTTAAAGACGCAGCGACATCAACATGATTTGGACCTAACGATTGTTTTCGAATTTCCAGAGCTTTTCGTAAACCTCTATAGCTTTGTCGTAGTTTCCAGTTTTTAAACACCAAACCAAGATTGTTTAAAGATGCAGCAACATCAACATGATAGGGATCTAACGATTGTTTTCGAATTTCCAGAGCTTTTTCGTAAAACTCTATAGCTTTGTCGTAGTTTCCAGTATTAATACAATACCAAGATTGTTTAAAGATAGCGACATCAACATGATTTGGACCTAACGATTGTTTTCGAATTTCAGAGCTTTTCGTGAACCTCTATAGCTTTGTCGTAGTTTCCAGTTTTTCAAACACATACCAAGATTGTTTAAAGACTGAGCGACATCAACATGATTTGGACCTAACGATTGTTTTCGAATTTCTAGAGCTTTTCGTAAACTCTATAGCTTTGTCGTAGTTTCCAGTTTTTAAACACCAAACCAAGATTGTTTAAAGATGCAGCAACATCAACATGATTTGGACCTAACGATTGTTTTCGAATTTCCAGAGCTTTTGTAAAACTCTATAGCTTTGTCGTAGTTTCCAGTATCATAATACACATACCAAGATTGTTTAAAGATTTAGCGACATCAACATGATTTGGACCTAACGATTGTTTTCGAATTTCCAGAGCTTTTCGTAAAACTCTATAGCTTTGTCGTAGTTTCCAGTTCAATAATACACAAACCAAGATTGTTTAAAGATTTAGCGACATCAACATGATTTGGACCTAACGATTGTTTTGAATTTCCAGAGCTTTTTGTAAAACTCTAGCTTTGTCGTACTTTCCAATATTTTAAACAAAAACCAAGATTGTTTAAAGACGCAGCGACTCAACATGATTTGGACCTAACGATTGTTTTCGAATTTCCAGAGCTTTTTCGTGAACTCTATAGCTTTGTCGTACTTTCCAACTTTTCAAAGACCAAACCAAGATTGTTTAAAGACGCAGCGACATCAACATGATTTGGACCTAACGATTGTTTTCGAAATTCCAGAGCTTTTCGTGAACCTCTTTAGCTTTGTCGTAGTTTCCAGTTTTTTCAAGCACCAAACCAAGATTGTTTAAAGACGCAGCGACATCAACATGATTTGGACCTAACGATTGTTTTTGAATTTCCAGAGCTTTTGTGAACCTCTATAGCTTTGTGTAGTTTCCAGATATTCAAGGACCAAACCAAGATTGTTTAAAGACTTAGCGACATCAACATGATTTGGACCTAACGATTGTTTTGAATTTCCAGAGCTTTTCGTGAACCTCTATAGCTTTGTCGTAGTTTCCAGTTTTTTCAAACACCAAACCAAGATTGTTTAAAGACGCAGCGACATCAACATGATTTGGACCTAACGATTGTTTTCGAATTTCCAGAGCTTTTTCGTAAAACTCTATGGCTTCGTCGTACTTTCGAGTATCATAATACACAATACCAAGATTGTTCAAAGATGTGGCAACATCAACATGCTTTGGACCTAACGATTTTTTTCGAATTTCCAGAGCTTTTTCGTTAAACTCTATAGCTTTGTCGTAATTTCCAGTTTCATAATGCACAATGCCAAGATTGTTTAAAGACATAGCGACATCAAGATGATTTGGACCTAACGATTGCTTTTGAATTTCCAGAGCTTTTTCGTACAGCTCTAGAGCTTTGTCATAGTTTCCAATTTCGTTCAGCACATTACCAAGATTGTTTAAAGATGTAGCCACTTCAACATGATTTGTACCTAACGATTGTTTTCGAATTTCCAGAGCTTTTCGTGAAACTCTATAGCTTTTCGTAGTTTCCAGTATCATAATACACAATACCAAGATTGTTTAAAGATGTGGCGACATCAACATGATTTGGACCTAACGATTGTTTTCGAATTTCCAGAGCTTTTTCGTGAAACTCTATAGCTTTGTCGTAGTTTCCAGTGTTTTTAAACACCAAACCAAGATTGTTCAAAGACGCAACGACATCATTATGATTTGGACCTAACGATCGTTTTCGAAATTCCAGAGCTTTTTCGTGAGCCTCTATAGCTTTGTCGTAGTTTCCAGTGTTTTTAAACACCAAAACAAGATTGTTTAAAGACGCAGCGACATCAACATGATTTGGACCTAAGGATTGTTTTCGAATTTGCAGAGCTTTTTCGTGAACCTCTATAGCTTTGTCGTAGTTTCCAGTTTTTTTAAACACCAAACCAAGATTGTTTAAAGAGCCAGCGACATCAACATGATTTGGACCTAACGATTGTTTTCGAATTTCCAGAGCTTTTTCGTAAACCTCTATAGCTTTGTCGTATTTTCCAATATCATAATACACAATACCAAGATTGTTCAAAGACCCAGCGACATCAACATTATTTGGACCTAACGATCGTTCTCGAATTTTAAAAGCTGTTTCGTAAAACTCTAAAGCTTTGTCGTAGTTTCCAGTTTTTTTAAACACCACACCAAGATTGTTTAAAGATGTGGCGACATCAACATGATTTGGACCTAATGATTGTTTTCGAATTTCCAGAGCTTTTTCGTGAACCTCTATAGCTTTGTCGTAGTTTCCAATATCATAATACACAATACCAAGATTGTTTAAAGATGTGGCGACATCAACATGATTTGGACCTAACGATTGTTTTCGAATTTCCAGAGCTTTTTCGTAAACCTCTATAGCTTTGTCGTACTTTCCTATATCATAATACACAATACCAAGATTGTTTAAAGATGTGGCGACATCAACATGATTTGGACCTAACGATTGTTTTTGAATTTCCAGAGCTTTTTCGTGAAGCTCTGCAGCTTTGTCGTAGTTTCCAGTTTTTTCAAACACCAAACCCAGATTGTATAAAGAAACAGCAACATCAACATGATTTGGACCTAACAATTGTTGTCGAATTTTCAGAGATTTTTCGTGAACCTCTTTAGCTTTGTCGTAGTTTCCAGTATCAGTAAACACCAAACCAAGATTGTTTAAAGACCTAGCGACATCAACATGATTTGGACCTAACGATTGTTTTCGAATTTCTAGAGCTTTTTCGAAAAACTTTATAGCTGTGTCGTATTTTTCAATATCATAATACACAATACCAAGATTGTTTAAAGTTGTGGCAACATCAACATGATTTGGACCTAACGATTGTTTTTTAATTTCTAGAGCTTTTTTGTAATGCACGATAGCATTGTTGTAGTTTCTAGTTTTTTCAAGCACATTAGCAAGATTGTTTAAAGTCCCAGCAACATCAACATGCTTTGGACCTAACAATTGTTTTCGAGTTTGCAGAGCCTTTTGATGATGTAATATAGCTTTGCTATACTTCCCGGTGTCACAGTATAAAAGACCGAAGATACTAAACAACCAAGCTTTGTCATTACAAGATTCTTCTGATTTAAATTTATCCAATAGTTCAAGAGCAAGGTTGTATTTTCCAAAATGTCTTAATCTTTCAACAAAATATTGGAAAACTTGTAAAGTATTCATGTTGATTTTTGTCTTGTTCGTCTTTAAATATTGAACAATTTTTTCAAGATGTGGCATCAATTTGATTTCGTCGTCTCTTTCTTTAAACATGTAAAGTGCTTTAGATATTTGATCAGCGTTACTTTCCATTTCATGCTCTTCATTTGAATGTTCAGATTGATAAACAATAATTGCATTGTGAACAATACGATGTAGACTAATGTCATTATTTTCTGAATGCAAGAACAATGAGCAGTCCTTTAAAGAAAGAGATATATCTTCCTTTGAGTGTTTGGAATCTATTTTTTGAACATAACAAATAATAATGTCTTGTGGTATAGGATCAAACGATATCACGGAGAAAAAGTTAATAACATTTGCCAATATTGAGGACTCTTCAGCATTTTGTCTGACAGCTAAAAGAGAAGCTTGTAACATACTTCTAGGATATACCAAGTTCAATTTAACAAAAGTGGCGTCCATTTTTTCTTGTTCTGAAGATATTTTCTTTAAATATTGTTTCCAAGTAAATGAGCCGTTTTTTTTGTTTATACGACTGACATAATAACCTGCAGCAGCCAAAGCCAGCGGTTGACGATCTAATGCGTGCGATACTTCATTTAACAATTGATCATCAGCATGTTCAATAGTGTAATGCTTCAACAGTTGAAAAAATTCCCTATCATTAATTCCACTTCTGATAGAAATATGTTTGTTAAACTCATCGTCTTGAGGTACGGCATCTGTGTTCTGGATGGTTACTATGATTTGTCCATTTATCCACTTGGGATCACCTACTTGGGGAAGTAACGAAGAAATTTTGCTGAGCTGTACCACGTTGTCTACAATGATCAACCAATTGTGCCAGAATTTTAATCGTGTGGATACTAACGATCTCAGGTTCTTCACTTTGACTGTAATAGAACAGTTTTCATCTTCAAATCTTTTAATCGTATACTTGTCACAGTTTAAACGGTATCCAAGTTCACAGTAAGTTTTTAAAAGAGATTCCTCATTTTTTCCATTGAGAGTCATTACAAATAAAGTTTTATTTTTCCAATCACACGATATTTTTTGACAAACCTGTCTGGCAAGTTGAGATTTACCACAGCCAGGATTACCAGTGATGTAAAAATATGTCAGTTTATCATTGTTATCATTCCTTAATTTTTCAAGATCTTTTATAATTTTATCTCGTAATTCGGTGCGTTCAACGAAAAAATGATTAGGTTTTGAAGGAAGAACTTCGAATGAATAAAAACAAATTCGATGGTTTTTTATTTCAATGATTTCATCGAGAGAAAATTTCATGTCATGAAATGATTTTTCAATGATATTGACTATTTCATCAAAATCATCATCTGAGCATTCCCTTTCATACCAATGTGCGTATTTATTTCTTTCACAACGAAGTGCACGAACAGCATCCTTTGTTTTTTTGTCAAGATATTTTCCAATTGAATTTGAAAAAATTATTGTATCAAATAATATCGTACAGTCCCACTTACTAGTGTCTCCATCCTGATATTTTTGTCGTGTTTTTTGGTCTATTTTTCTTCCTGCTTCCAAAGTGTAAAATTTGTTACCACTGTTCTGTGTATCATCCCATTCTCCATTAGTTGATTTGTAACGAGAATTCCATTGTTTAATGAAAAACTTAGCAAGTTCCTTTTGTACCACATTAATTATTTGCTGAATGTACGACAGATTTCTTATTCCTGACGATTCCATCTGTAGAAAAATTTTGTATATATCAACAAGATAAAAATCAAGCAATTCAAAAAATTCAATGCAAACCTTATCAGTTTCCAATGAAGTCCGAATTTACATGATGACGAAATCAACATTGTTTGTTAATTGATTTAACTTCACCTGAAACGTACTGAAATTATAAAAGAAGCTGAAAACTAATAATGACAGAGACCATATATGCTACAGCTTTTACCAACTGCAGTATCCTGTCAAACAACCTTTAGAAAAATTTTAAAAATATGATATTTTACCTTAAAGCTTGCGTTACAAAACAGACATAAGAATATATATTTCAATATTTGCATACTCATTTGTGAATGTCATGCATCTGTATCTAAGAATATGTTATAATGTTGTAGCTAATAGCCTTTTTTAAAGTTACTAAGGTTTATGTTTATTTAATTTCATAGAGTCTAACGCATTTAATAGAACTTGAATTTGTAAATATATTTGTTTTACAACATGTTGTAACACACGATCTTGTTTTTCTTAGGCTATATACGATAATTGATTGGCAATGGTAAAATTTTTCATCAATTTTAAGACCATGAACCACTAGAATATTAAGCAAAATCTGAAGCAAATAAATGACTATTTTAAATAAATTTTAATATGAAATGAGAATTTTTAATCTATGTTGATAAAATAACGCGTTTTGAGGGGATCATTTACGTAAACTCGAATGTATAATAAAGCATGATTTTGCAACTTTTTCGAGACTCATAAAAAATGAAATTACTTTTTTTTAAATTTGCATGTGTTAAACACTATGGACAAGGATGTTAACCAGGAGGTTTTATTCTGAAACACAAGAAGAGAAGCTGTGAAGCATCATAATGAGGATAAAAGGCAGAAAAAGAAGACAAATATTGACAGCATTATCTTTCATTTGTTTAAAAAAGAGCTGTCATTCAGAGGACATAATAAATCAAGCTTTAGCTTGAATAAGGACAACTATAGAGCTTCCAAACTCATATTGAAATATACGTTTTGTCTTTGTCTTGAATGCCAGAAGTGACGTAAGAAACGGCTGATGCACAGCTTGTGTTTTCACTGATGTATCACGTGACGTCCAGAATTCTTTGATTGCCTAACTGTTTTGATGAAGTTATAAAGATATTCAATATCAGATTGATGAGGAAATCAGAAAATTTCAGTTTTTTAATTATTTAATTTGACAAAACTTTTCATAAATAAACCTTAGCATCAACAAAAGGCATTTGCAAAGCTACCAAGATTATCAAAAGCGTGCATTTAAAATCTGGAACAATAAGATTTAAAAAGAAATCTTTGATAGAATACCTAACTTGATAGAAGAGAAGGCTGAAAAACAGAGTGGTAGCGCAGAGAAAACAGAGCAGGTAAATGTGAGTAACGTGCATGTGAGTACAAAGACTAGGGTACCCTTGCAGACTGCGCAAGTAATTCTTGTAGGTGAGAATAGGAAGAGAGTGTGTATGCTTTTTGACTCGGGATGTCAGAAGTCTTTTGTGACAAACAGAGCAAAACAAGATGCGAAGCTTAATGTAGCAAGGCGGGAATGGCTAAAGGTCAACACCTTTGGTGGTAGAACAAATGAAGGTAAGATGACGTGGGTCGTCAATGCGAGGTCGCATCAGTTAGGGGTAATTGCAAAATTCGTTTAGAGGCATTAGTAGTTCCTCGTATTTGTACAGTAAAAAATGAGCATATTGAGGTGGCTAAGGAGCAGTATTCTCATTTGAAAAATTTGTTTTTGTCAGATGTAAGTTTGAAGCAGGAGATGTTGGAAGTGGATGTTTTAATAAGAGCAGATAACCTTTGGGCTTTTCAGAAAGGAGAAATATTTAGGGGCAAAAAGGATGAGCCAGTTGCGATTGATACTTCTTTAGGATGGGTTGTAAGCGGTCCACTGAAAGGGAGCTCGAAAGTCAATAACGCACATGTTAATTTAGTTTCGCAGACTGCAACGCAGAATACAAACAGCATAAACAGGCAGGTGAACAAGTTGTGGGATTTAGAAACACTTGGGGTCAGGGAAACGGACGATGTGCACGAAGCCTAGTTAGATAAAATTGAGTTTAATGGGCATAAGTACTCTGTTAAATTGCCATGGAAGCAGGGTCATGAGCATTTACCAAGTAACTATGCCAATAGTTTGGCACGCATGAAAGAGCAAATTAAGCGCTTGCCAAATGAGCCTGATTTGTTAAAAAAATTTGATAAAATTATCAGGGATCAACTAAAAATGGGAGTCATTGAAAGGGTTGACGAGTCAGAACCGAGAATGAATGTTCATCATCTTCCCCATCAAGCGGTGATACGTAAAGAAGCCAAAACAACTAAGCTAAGAATAGTGTATGATGCATCATCAAAGGAGGGTAAGAAAAGGACTTCTTTGAATGACTGTCTTCATGTAGGACTATCATTAACACCGTTGTTGTTTGATATATTAATCAGATTTAGGGAGAACAGAGTGGCCTTGGTAGGAGACATAGAGAAAGCATTTTTGAACGTAGAAGTAGACAAAGCAGACCGGGACTATTTAAGATTTTTGTGGGTTAGAGATGCGACTAATGCCAATTTAGAGGTTGTTTTTTCCTGGTTTTGCAGAGTAGTGTTTGGATTAAATGCTTCGTCATTTTTACTCAACGCCACGCTTAGGAATCACATGGCGCAATTTGCAGAATCACGTTGGTGTACAGGACCAAGGTGGCTGAGTAGCGTAGAAAGAGAATGGCCGAAATCAAAGGTAGGCGTAACTGAGGAGAGTAAAGAAGAAGAAAAGCAAACGGCACTATTAGTAGTAGATACTAACGAAGAAATAGGTATTCAGAACGTGATCTCTATAGAGAGGTACAATAGGGTTGAGAAGTTATTTCGGGTAACGGCATGGGTAGCACGATTTGTCAGGAATTTGCTCGCTAGGATCAGAGGGAAACATGAAGATTTAACCTTCACGGAATTAGGGAGTCAGGAGATAAGCAAAGCAGAAAAACTTTGGTTGAAGGCTTCACAAAACAGGCTAAAGAAGGAGGATAAGTCCAAGCAGTTAGAGGTACAACTCAAGGTAGTACAAGATGAGGGGTTACTAAAATGTCAGGGTAGGCTAGCAGAATCAGACTTGGAAGAGGAAACGAAGTTTCCAATCTTATTACTAAAGGAAGGTAGATTGACGGAATTAATAGTTGAGCATTGCCACAAAAACGAACATCATAGCGGAGTTAGGGCAACTTTAGCAGAGATAAGGTCAACGTTCTGGATTCCACAAGGCAGACAGAAGGTAAAATCAATTCTCAACAAATGTGTCGTGTGTAAGAAATTAGAGGGTAAACCATATAATAGACCTAACGAACCAAACCTTCTGGCATTCAGAGTGGAGCAAGTGGAACCATTTTCGAAGAAAGGGGTAGATTTTGCTGGACCACCGCATGTGAACAATACATCAGGAGGGACAGACAAAGTATGCATCGCATTGTTTTCCTGTTGCGTAACTAGGGCCATACATTTAGACCAAGTTAATGATTTGTCTGCGGATGAATTCATGAGGTGTCTTAGACGAGTTTCAGCTAAAAGAGGAACCCCATCATTAATGGTATCAGACGACGCAAAAACGTTCAAAGCAACAGTCAATTAAGACTTTGAAAAACCTCTATAATAATGCAAGTGTGAAAGGTTATTTGGGAAACAATAGAATAGAGTGGAAATTCAATCTAGAAAGAGCTCCCTGGTGGGGTGGATTTTTTCAAAGGATGGTTAGGTCAGTGAAGGGGTGCTTGAAGAAGGTATCAGGAAATGCTAGGTTGACATTGACGAACTACTGACAGTGATGGTAGAAGTTGAGGCAACATTAAATTCTAGGCCATTGACTTATACGTACGACGAGGTGGGTAGTGAACCACTAACTCCGTCGCATTTGGTGACCCGAAGAAGGTTGTTGTCCATGCCAAGCGATGGGTCTGGTGAAGAGGAGTCTGATGAGAGTTACTGTAAAAAACGGTATCAGTATTTGAGTAAGAAATAAATGCATTTCTGGAATAGGTGGCGTAAAGAGTATTTGGTTGGTTTAAGAGAGTTTCATAAGCAGGTCCAGGAAAATACCATTAGGGTAGTAGAGAAGGGAGATGTCGGGACTGTTTATGAGGATATTGTGAAAAGAGGAAATTGGAAGACAGGTGTAATAGAGGAGTTGTTTTTAGGGAGAGATGGGGTGGTAAGAGCGCTAAGGTCAGGCTAGTTAAGAACGGTAAAGTCATTCACCTCAATTGTCCCGTCCAAAAGCTCTTTCCTACCGAGTTAAAGCACGACGAAAGAGAATGTGAGCAAAAAGAGAATGAAAAGGACTGAGAGGAAGGGAGGCAAAACATGAGGGTAGACGCAAGAGAGCCGCTGCTCTTGATTCTGAATGGAAGACTCAGAGTATGCTTGATTAGTGGGACTAATCAAGGTGGGGATTGTGTTGTAAATTGTCATGTCAAATTATGTAGAGTGTGACTGTGTCTTATTATAGATTATAAGATATACAGGATATTAAATCCATGTAAAATAGCATAGTTATGTTAAGAGAGCACATCCTCACCGCAATGCGTCATAGAGGTAGGATGTAGGGAGAAACGGAATGGCGAAGTTGCGCGTCAAATGTAAACGCCCAAAAACCACTTTCGAATAATTATACATAACTATAGCTTGCAAGCGTTGGTTCGGGAGTTCAGAAAAGTTGACGTTATTGTTGTATGAACTGGTCATACAAATTTGATGATTTAGAGTCGTATTGCAGAAGGCAATAAATTTCGAAAACGCATTTCTAGGATTGACGTTGTCCGTAATCTTATCGAGATCCATTTAATCATCACGCATCGCGAAGAACCAACGCTTGGAACGTAAAATCATGAACAACACTTTAAATATCTTATTGAAGTGTTAAAAATACATTCCCATCGTTAGTGTGAAGTTTTAAGAAAGTGAACCAGCACTTCGCACAGATTGTGCGAAACCACCTTTGGGATCCCAGAACGAATGCGTTACAGACGGTGGACCAGAATTCACCACCGTCAAAATACGGCAGTTCCTCAAATAAGGGGGGTACACCACCGCCTCGCCTCCGCTGCATTCCCGCACTCAAATTGTCGCGCCGAGGTTGCAGTTAAAACTGTGAAACGCCTCATCGCGAACAACACCGGCCCAACTGGTAGCCTCAACACAAACGCCTTACAAATTGCTGTTCTACAATATCGTAAAACGCCCGATACCGATACGAAATTATCACCGGCACAAAGCGTCTTCGGTAGACTTATTAAGGCTTTCATACCAATTTCCCCCGGCTGTTATAGGCAACACGCAACCTGGAGTGAAACACTAGATGCTCGAGAGGAGGCTTTACGAAACCGCCACATGAGAGCGGCGGAACTTTGGTGAGAACACACAAGAAGATTACCACCTCTGTCCATTGGACATCACGTAAGAATACAGAACCAAACAGGACCGTACCTCACGAAATGGGACAATACTGGAACAGTCATCGAAGTCCTTCAACACGATCAATACCGCGTCAAAGTCGACGGATCCAACAGAATTACACTACGAAACAGAAAATTTCTCCGGCAATTCACACCTGTACAAGAGCGGCCACCAGATACTCGAGGATGCCAGAGAACCCACACCAGTGACCACAAAGCCTAGCAAGAAAGCACTACTAGCTCTACGCAGATTACTCGATTTCAACAAGAAAGGGCTGTTAGAAAATTGAGAGGATGAACAAATATCAAAGAACAACTTTATATTACCCTTTCTTATACTCGAAAAGACTTAGGGGATAGAGCATAATGGGATAGTCGTTGATTAATAAGGTGCCTGGACCCTACTGTTATTGTTGTTTGTCATTCGCAAACGAATGACCTCTGTATTTTGTCTCTTAATATATATTTTACAAGATCCTCATTTCGCGAAATAGACTAAGTCTTATCTAAAATATGCGTTTGTTTGCTCTAATGTTGGGAAAAGTAAATCTCACAGTTGGATAAGGTGACATTTCATTATATTCTGATAAATCAAATGAAGGGAAGGTGATAGAAAATTCTTGTTGTAGCCTTGTAGAAATTCTAAAGATTTGTTAACATCAAGTTCAATGTTTGGTTGTATCTTTTAAGTATATTTAACTACAAGCTGTTTCTGGTAATCAGAATTGACTCGTAAGGTGGCAAAAGTTAAGTTTATCAAAATCACAAGTTAAAAGGATTCCATACCCAGAATACAAAAATGTTCATTGCTGTAATTGAATTGAATAATTAGTTTTTAATTAGTTAATCGGTCTAATTTTAACGAGAAGAGCCTCAAACGTGGCATAATTATATAGGAATTTCTGCTGTACACCAAAATGTGGTCCAAAAGCTCTGTTTTTTCAAATCAGAAATCAAAGTTTTTCAGTTTTATTTATTTAATGATATGAACTTGCATGTATCACCTTAGCGTCAACAGCTCGACGAAAGATAATTGCAACGTTACAAAACGACTAAACATTTAAAATATCAATGATGGCATGCATGAGTCCATATGCAATTTCAAACCAAATTTTCTTTTTGATTCATAAATGTCATTTCATATCATCACAAGTATAATGAAATAACACATATTTTATAAATATACCGTCCGGACCCAAAGATAAATATAATTGCATGCTAGCAAGCAATTTAAATTCTTTAGCAAGCAAGCACATCACGATAAACACGACTTCCTTTAGATGACAGCGATTTTTTGGTAAGCAAATTGTTTGTATTTGTAACTTTGTTTAATTGGTGTACAACTACAGGATCACAAGTTGCTACGGGTATCTATGATGTCATTTTATAGTACTAGGTTGAGACTAATATTTATGAAAAGTGCATTAATTATATTTGACGAACAACTTTTATTTAAGATCTCATTTATACATCGTTAACACACACGATAATTTTTTGTCTTTTGTCTTACAAACCTTTTACTGGTCGACGATTGAAGCTTTGAACATTCGATCTTTCAGATTTCTTAACGTTCTGATAAGTTAAGCGTCAAATGGTTACGTCCTTTGAGTTGATACGTGGCAAATTATTTTGTGCAACTTAATTCAAAAAATTAAAAAGTTTATTGTTATGTAAAGCAAAGATACGGCCTTATGATTTTTATTGTTTTTATTAACATGTTTGAATTTTATTACCGTTTCCTTGGTATTTTGGGAGTTTGTTCAAAAAAACCTTAGCTCCATAATTAAGAGTTCGTCTTATACATGAAAATTTACAATATCAGATTGTGGAACTTTTATTTCATTTTCTTGTTTAAGTTGAATAAGACAAAATAGGCGTTCGTTGGCTTAAATGTTGGGAAAAGTAAATCTCACGCCTTGATAGGATAACATTACATTATATTCTGATAAATTAAATGAAGTTAAATGAAGGAAAGCTGATATAGAATTCTTATTGTAGAAACTATAAAGATTTGTTAAGATCATGTCCGATGTTTGGTTGTATCATTTAGGTATATTTCAAGCTGTTTCTGGTAATCAGAATTGATTCATAGGATGGCAAAAGTTAAGTCTATTAAAAGCACAATTCAAAACGACTTCACACCAAGAATATAAAGATGTCCATTGCTGTAATTGAATTAACTAATTAGTTTATAACTAGTTGATTGGCATAATTTTAACCCACCTCCATGTAGTCGAAAAGCTTTGTTCTTATAAACAATGTTGTACTCAGATATCTCAAGATTACAAGTATCATGTAAGCTATGTTTCTGCGATGAACACTACATCGGGTTCTTGCTTGGCAGCGAAATCGCGAATTATTTTGAGCTTTTCTTTTTAAATGTGAAGCCTAATTATATATGCAAAATGCACTTCCGGTTACCCACTAGAAATACAAATTACTGTAGAAGTGTTTGGCGGATAACGTTTACAAACAAGGATTTTCGAATATTTAAGACATTTGGCGACGTTTTACTTATTTCAAATATCTGTCATTGATAACCCAAGCTCTTTAAATCAATTTGACATGAAAATTATTTCGATACCTGTAAAATATCGGCGTTCATGTTCATTTGAAAATCGCTCGTGCAAGAATCGAATTTGCCTCATAGTGGCCAAGGCAAGATAATTCACAGCTCGCTTTCCACGTTTAGAGGCAGTTATGATCTAGAATATGTTTCAATGCTTAAAATTGTGGTGAGTACCTTTATTTTATCATTCTTTATAATCTAGACATTGTCGTATGTTACTTTTGCCGTGACTTTATGAGTCCGGGTATATTGGTGTAGGAACAAACAAATTTACTAAGCTTAGTTTATTCTTAGTTTTAATTTCTATTTTTATTTTATAAAGATAATATTATCACTACACCTTGCTACAGCATTTGGATACGGTATTCATCAGTACGTATGGTTGTTATTGTCATAACATGCAGAGGCGGATCTAGGGTATGTCAAATCATTCACGTGACTGATGTTTATAGTTATCAAAAATTACTTATCAAATTTAATGATTACAATTTTTTGTGATCATTGAACTCCCGATGTATAATCGTATGAATTTAATTGTCAAAATTCTGTTTTATATCTGAAATCTTACGTAAATATCACGTTTTAGCATATCTGGAATTATATTAACTGACTGACTGATAAGCGTTGATGATTAATATTTTTTAACATGGGGTTATGTGATTATGTGATTTACAAAATGTTTTTGATTAAGAATCACGTAGCCTTAAACCTTAAAATAGTTTTACTTTCTATTGCAAATCACAGCAGTTTTTAAACAGTGGTATAATTTTACAAAGAGGTAATTGAATGTTTATTCATAACAATGCATGGTTGCTTTATAATACTAGTAAGTATCGTTTGTCCAATTATTGCATTCAAGACAATATGTAGTTTACAACCCACTTTTTTATCTCTTAGATTGGTTTATTAACTTTGCCTATTTCTTTAGTAAGCTTGCAATGTCATTTAAATTATTTTTATTTAGTTGCTTAAAGCATTTTCCATTTGCTGTTGTTAGCAAGTAAACTATAATGTTATACTTAAAATTTTAGGGTTATGTATAAATTAGGTATGATACATGCATGTAAAGAAGAGAATAAGTTACAAATGGTTGAGGAGACATATAAGTAAACATAATCTGTGAATGGGTTGTAACATTAGGGGAAATGGTTTGTAACATTAGGGGGAATGGGTTGTAACATTAGGGGGAATGGGTTGTAACATTAGGATATGTTTACATTAATCAAAAATAAATAGAGTGACAGTTACATTTTATTATTTATTTTAGTTCATATCATAATGAAATGTGACCAGGCGCAATACAAAAAAAAATGGATTGCTGCTAATAAAGCTTTAAGATGCAGTGATGCAATGCCTAATGATGATGGCTGTTGTAATCTGTTCAATAATGTTTTTGATAATGACCTTGGACATTCATATCCTTTACAAAAATCAGCTTGAACCATTGCCAGTCCTAAACAAAGTTCTTTCTCTTTAAAAGTTGGTCTTAATGATTGTGATATTGGGGAAAATGACCGTGCTGTTTCTGGTGAAGTTGATTCTTTAGATGTTTCTTTTTGCCATGGAAAAGCTGATTTTTTAGTGCATGTGAATGCAGATATTGAGGAAAGGCATTCTTCTGATTCTTCTGATTTTGAACATTATAGTTTAAATGTTTCTTTTCAAGATGGGTTAGTTGATTGGGTGAATGAGTACTAAATTAAGCAAAATTCTGTTGATGGTTTGCTTCCTCTTCCTAAGGATAATTGTCATCCAAATTTGCCTAGTTGTGCCTGCACTTTGTTGCATACATCAAGATGTATTCCCATTCAGAAATAATCTGGCATAGATTACACATATTTCTCTTTTGGTGAACAATTGTTAAAGCACTTTCACAAGCCCCTTGTGAAACAGTTAAGAACATTTATCATCTTGAAATCTCTTTAAATGTTGATGGGCTTCCTTTGTTTAAAAGTTCTGCAAAAAATGTATGGCCAGTGTTGTGTGCGATTTTGAATATCAAACCTGTTGTAGTGTTTCCTATTGTCCTAACATGTGGTGACTCGAAGCCAAAAGACTTGGAGTTTTTGGATGATTTTATAGAAAATTTGAAGGGTATTCTAGAAAGGGGAGTCCAAGATGGGGAAAAGGTTCTGACTGTTACAGTAAGGGGAATTGTTTGTGATGCTCCTGCAAGAGTACTTGTTAAAGGTACAAAACTTTGTACTGGTTATTTTGGTTGTGACAAGTGTACACAAAAAGGGAAGTGGCTTGGTCTAGGGACTTACTCTCAAAATACTAATATAGAATTGTGCAGTAATATTTCCGTTAGAAAGCAGATACAAGAAGAACATCATCGCTTTGTTAGCCCTTTCCGTCACTTGCCTGTTGATATGGTAGAATAATTTCCAATTGACTACGTGCATCAACTGTGTCTGGGTGTTATGCGTAAATTGATTATGGTTTGGATGAGGGGAAATTGCGCTACTATAATGTCTGTTGCCCATGTAGAGGCTGTTAGTAAAAAATTGGTGGAGCTTAAACAATTTATCCCCTCTACATTTGTGCAAAAACCTAGGAGTTTAATGGACGTTGACAGATGGAAAGCTACAGAATTCAAACAGTGTGCAGTTTTTCACACATTGCTACGTTGCCTTTAAATGTAATGAGTGATTTTGCTTTTTAGATTCGCCGGTATACAGCGAGCTGATCTCCCTTTGCAGAAAAAGGTATAAGCGCTATTATAATCCTGGTACAAGACGACAATTTTTTACAGAAACATGCATGTATAAAATTTCTCTTATCATACTAATATAATGTTGATCTATATTTATATGACGGTGAACTAGCACCAGAAATCCTAAACACAAAGGATCATGCAATAACGTCCCCTTCTACTAGTAGGACACCATCTCAACGTAGTGGTAAGTTTTCTGTCATCAGAACTGACTAGCCAACAACTTTCATATAATATGTCGACTAAAATGTTTAAATAATTTTGATTGATTCTTTTTCAATAACTTTAACATTCGTATTGTACATTTATTGTTTTTCTACGCCCATCGTTGCATTATAGGGCTTATGTATGTTCTACAGGTGCTGTAGGCGTTGGTCCTTTAAAATATTGTTGCAATTAGTTCACAAAATGTTAGTTATAGTTAAAATTACAGTTGTGTTCACCACAATTTAATCAAAATACATTCGTTCAAGTCTAATTCTCAGCGTTTGCTATCAAACTACTAAATGAAACTTTCTCGAGATTTTTATTTTAGTCACCTTTCTGTTTCTGACTTTTGAAAATTGTAGTGCCTTAATTTAAGTGACGTTCGTGCGTTCAATAAAGATATATGTTAAACCCAGTACGTGTTTTTTCTGTAAATACAAGCAACGTCTCTTCACAAGGAATTCCTACAACTGGAACAACAAGAGAAAGACATTCTCCACGAAACAGTGGTGTCTTAGGCAAGCTTTTCTTACAATTCATTATTGCATGTCTTGTTGTTACGTTTTCATTTACGTTCATTTCGTGTCGTTTGAAATGTTTCTTTTTCTTCACAACTAACTGCAACACGTGATTGCTTTTCAGATGCGCATGACCTTTCATCGCACGAAACGCCTTCGACAAGTTTTATGAACATAACACCTGCAGGAAGACGTTCTTAACCAAACGTTAATGGTACCTTTTCTGCAGTATATAGTTTTTGAATAGCGTTGTTATTATGTATATGTATTCAATTAGCAATTTGATGCGCGTTTTATTTGAATTTTCTTGTTAGCATGTTGAAAGGTTTTATATTTTTAAGATATTACGTAGGTTATACATGAGTTATTCTATTATTTTCTTATCTATCTTGTAGGCTTCCAAAGATCAGTTCTCACCAAACTGGAAACATTAATTAATAAGCAAGAAGAAGCGTTGTCAATATTGCGTGCTCTGTTAAGCGTTACGAAAGGTGTAGACGAGCACGAAATTTTGGAAGATGCTGTACCTAATCCCTTAGATACGGTTGAAGAACTTGAGGACCTATCCTCTATTCTTAATAGAAAAAAGTCCAAAAGAAAGTTGGTAAGTTTTGGAAAGTTAACCACCCATACGTATCCAGTAATATTTATTGGCACTGCCTATTTTTTATGCATGACTCTTTCAAGTGTTACGTAAAAAAATGTGAGAAAGGAAGGCATAGCATTTCCCCTTTATCGGTTTGGAAACGTGAAAACGATTGTTTCATTTGCAATTACGTAACATAATATTGACTTTTTTCTACCATTTGTGTTTGAAACTTGAAAACATGCACGTTTTTTAAAGTCTGAAACTTAATTTTAATGAAGATTTTCGTGACGTTAGGCGGTCAGATTATCTGATTAAACTATATGAATCTAGCATCGTGTTTTTCGTGAGAGCATTGTCGTGTTCTGATTGATTTAAATACGTTACGATACTTCAAACGGCTCTTAGGAGTGTGTCGTTTTATTTGTGCTGAAAAATTCTAACAAAGAAACTGGTCTTTCTAAAAGCTCTCATCATTCACTCTTTTTTTTTGTTCATGAATTGGAAAAACAGCCATTTATGTTGCTCCTTGTCATAAGGAATTTTGTTTCAAGTTTTAAAAGCTAATACATTAAACTGTTTTGCATATGTCACTATAATGAATTGTTGTTTATCATTCAGCTTACGAAAATGATTTAGTGTTTTATCGATGCAATTTATTTAAAGTATGTCTTTTCTGTTTCGTTTCACTTGTTAGAAGCCTGCCTCAGCGCTCATAAAGGATGCAGCGAGGCCAACGTTGAAGAGCAAATTGCCGAATTTTTAAAATATGCTCCAGGCAAGCAAGGTGGTTCCAGATTTCAGGTAACATGTCATTATCATCATAGATTTCTGGGTAAAGTATATAGATGCCACTTTTTCTTTGTTTGATTTTCTCAACTTAGACAGGGAGAACTCAACTTATTTTACTCCGTAATCTCATAGTTAGCATATTTTTGTTTTCTTGTCTGTGTAAGTTGAGAAAAATACACAATAACATTATTGGCATGTGCATATGAAGAAAGTGAGCATGTGTCTTTCATCGTCCTTCAGTTATAAGTAAAGCAAAATGGAATGGACACATATACATAATGCGTACCTTTAAAAACGTTCATTTTAGTGCAGGTATTAGATTTAGTGCAAGTTTTAAATTTTCTTAACTCAAACTGCATGATTAGATTTATAATATACAATTTGCTTAGCGTGATATTAAACAATTATTGAATGAAATAGTATATGAATTAAGACTTATGAAGGCCAAGGTTTGTTCAATTTACCAACGCTGAGGCAGATAGAACACATTGATGCCTTGATAATTCTTTATATTACGTGAAAACCCAATTCAATAATTGTTTTATTATTTATATAAAAAAGACAGTGTTGGTTAAATGTGAAAAAGGTGCCGTAACGATGAAAGTTTTGTTCACTTGTTTTGTTTCTCGTGCGTATGAGATGACGTTGTAGCGCGAGATAATTTCTTATATCAGACTTACGTACGTAGTGGCATTTATATAAGTGGATTTATTCGATTGCTTTTAAGTGAATAAAACTAAAAAATACTTTGGTCCATATGTTTATATAAATTAAATTAAGAAGATATACATAAAGCAGACGATTCAGTTTCCATTTAAATGGCATCTTTTACAGACAAATATGTCAATGTTGTTGTAGGTGGTAAGACATGTAAAAATGATATCTAGACGACCATTTTCTAATAATCATAAATGTTATTTTCTTGCAGGTCCAAAAAGGCAACTTATTGGAATCGGCTTAATTAGCATTTTTGTAAATATGTATATTAAAACACGCACTGCAAAATAGATGAATTAAAAGTTGATTATAAGGAAATTAAACTTTAGTTCGTATCATTGGAAAGGCTGTTTTATGATTTTACAAATAATGCATCATTTATTGTATGTTAAATGAACGTCGGATAAACGTTGTATAAACTTTGTATAAACGTCGGGCTTAGATTAAAAATACGTTACATCCCAACGTTCATCCTACGTCGCCAAGTTCCTACGAGTTCACAAAAAAACGTTTACTTAACGTTGGTCCCCGACGTCACCTGTAAGTGAATAAAACTTTACCCGTTGAGTCACCTGAATTTTTCAGGCTCATGAGACAATTGCTTAGATTGTCCAGCAAAGTGCGAAGATCATATCTTAATTTAATTTCAAACACCGCACTGCATATAACATTCTTTCACAAATAATATTCTTTTTAGACTATTCACAACAGCAAAAAATCCCACTAATCCTTAAAGCCATAGTCAATAATTTAAGTAAACTGAATGAGTAATTTAACATAGTTTTTCTTCTTTTGCAGATGAATAAAACCACGCCACCATTGAGCAGCCAGATATCGTGTGTCAGTGTAGGTAGTGATGAATGAACTACAGAGAACAAAAACAGTCTTTACACTATGTAAAATATATAAGAAATAAGATAACGTGTGTCAGTGTAGGTGATGATGAATGAGCAACAGAGAACGAGAACAGTTCTTACACCACCTAGAATATAAAACGTCAGGACAAAACGCTTGATATTCTAGAGCAGTTAAGCTTTTTCGATCAATGTTTCATGTCATGAATTTAAAAATAAAATTTTCAAGTGCAAGTCTAATGCAAAACTTTGCTGTGATGGTGTCATACTCATAAAATGGGTTCCCAAATTCAATAACGTAAGCACAGACTTACTACTACTATGTAACCATTATTCATTTCTTCGCTCTCATATTTGTAAAGGAGATTAAACGGTGGAATTGTACAAAATCATATCTTTCAATTCTCAAAGCACCCACTGTCACACAGCTGTGGTCAGGACGCCAGAATGCTCAATACATACAAATGTAACTGGGGCTAGTTGCTTCATCTGCAGGAATTCACAACGCCTATCAAAAATGATTTTCCCTTTAACTATGACTAGCTTTATTCCATTGATTGACAGGTGTAAAGTGTACTTTTTTTGCCTTCTTATAGGCATAATCAATAAAACCAACCACAGGTTTTAGTGGTGAACACAAAAATTTTTAAGAGGTGTTATTTAATCAAAACATAGTCAAAATTCTTTCAAACCATCTTCATTGCGAATGAATTATCCAAAGAGTGAATACAAAATAAGGAAACACAACACACGTAAGATGATTTATTGTAAATATTGTTCGTGCTATGAAATAAGTTGAGAAAGTAAACGCTTTAAACGTAGAAAAATTCGATTCTAATGAAACAAAATGACAAAAGTACAAAACTGTACACATGATACAGTGTTGCCAGATAAAATTTCTAATTATTCATATTCTCTGACGTCAGAAGTTCACAAAAATTACCAAAAGTTCATTTATCTACATTTTTAAAGTCGGAATGTGTCGGAAATTGCCGGAATAGCTCGGAGATTGTTTGTGATTGTTGAGCATACACGTAACATGACCAGAAATCACCAAAAACGATAAATAATTGATTGAAATCTAGAACAGCTCTATCAAATCACATTGATTAGCAAATTGAATAAATTTAAAGAGCAAAAGTTACAATAAACAAATATGAGGAACGAAAAGAAATCAGGCTTAAAGATATTTTCCCAGACTAACCAATGAAGGAGAGGCGACCTGTTTAAACTATATTATCCTTTTGGGTAAATGCTTCATTCATCGATACTCGGCTTACTTTCAAGCCTTAAGTAAACTGTTAAGAATCTATGTACAGTTTTTAATTGCCCCTCAGTCGAGTCCTCGTTGTTCTTGTCAGCATAAAGACTGCTGCTTGATATCCTTTGTTTAGCTCCAAGTGGGGGTGAAAACTTTACGCAACCACCAGACAACTTGACACCACTTTTTACTTTTATCAATGCCGGACAGTTGCAGTTTGCAATTGATTTTTGCTCTTGGTCTTGATTGAGCTGACTGACGAAAACACTCTTTCCATATCGACATTTACATGAGGTAAGCAAAGCAAACTTTGCATGAAATCACACAAAAAATCAAACTTTGAATTTCCAATGCTATCGGTAATCTTTTCAAGGCAACCCCAAAATTCTTATGGTTCCATACCATCACTGTCGAAGAGTAAGGTGACATGAGAAAGCATACGCCACTGATCATCAAGTGCTTGTTGTTGAGACTCGGATATAATATTTGGAAAAGCCATGGCAAGAGGAGCAAGAGAAGAAAACTTTGCACGACTCAGGCCTGCATCTAAGACTTGAAGCATCTCAATGATCGGATATCCTATTGGAAATTGACTCTTTATTTGAGAAGCAGCTACAATGTAAAATTCTTGCACACACTTAAGAAAATGTTGCACATCTGTTGGTCGTTGCTTGTATTCATCTTTTGTCAAACAAAGGGCAATCTGAGCTCCCATATACATTTTTGACAATGGCATGAAATTCACTTTACTGGCTGGATCGATGTCTTTCAATGTTAACCCTTTCTAGTAGGCTTCGTTTAAGTAGCAGCTTTCTCTTTAAATAGCATTCAAACCATTGTGCAGTCAGTGGACAGAAGATTTCGAACTCTGGAACATGACATTTAGCTCTGTGAACTTGGGAAGCACGAACTCCATAAAGCTGATAAAGCTGACCACACGCAACTCAGCTTCCTGAACTTTTCCATCTATTAGGCCTGAACGACGAGCAAATATGGAATTATTTCAACTCAGGGTAGGATTAACAAAAACTTGACTTTTTCCTTGTGATGTGTGGTTTTGCTATGTTTTTTTTTAAGGCAGTTATAACTGCTGTGAGCTCTCTTTTAAAAACATTGCAGTACGCTTTGCTTGGATTTTTGGCAACAGGGTGCAGCCAACCCTTCAACAAAGGATCTTTTTCCCAAGCATGACGGTATGTTTGCCTGTATTTAACAGTTTGCTTGCTTGTTGGTCTAGTGTAGACAATCTGCAGAAGTAAGAATGTGATCATAAATTTCAACTGTTCTTTTTGTATTAGACTTAGCTATAAGTTGTCCTTTGTGAGTAAAATCGGCTGTTTATTTTTTAGGATTTGGAGCTTCACATTTTTCATTATCATTTACGGATGAACAACCGTCATCAGCATCGCCATCGCTTTCCAACATGTTCATAACGACGTTGCTTTTTGATCCTTCGACATTTTTGTTAAATAAAAACTCAAAACAGGACAAAGTAGCGGGAAAAAACACAGCAAATTAATTTTAGTTTAACATAATTTATGTAATACGTAAATAGTTTAACTTTTGACATATTATTACCTGTTACAAGAAGTAAACAATTTACTATTTTTATTACTGAATCATTGTACTTATTATTTTCTATCTTAAAGCAATGACAATACAAGGTTCATGAAAACCTACAGAGAATTTTGAAAAGTTCACAAAAAGTTCACAAATTTTTCATGTTCATGAAAAGTTCATGAAGAAATCAAAAAGTTCACAAATCTATGAACTTTGTTCACAATCTGGTAACACTGATATGATATGACCAAACGTACTTTTGAGCCTCAATATCTCAAAAATTAAAAATGATTGCATAAACTGTTTTAGAAATTACATTGTCATTGCAAACAAAAAAATTTTCGTGTCATAGGCTCTTTAAAAAATGATACTATTTGGTTTGTAAACGAATGCAACATAATTGATTGTCTTGTGACGATTGGTGAAGATTAGTTACCATTACAAGCCAATCCTCGCTGCCAAAGTGAAACATGGTTGTACAATCCAGAAAATCTAGCTGTCATATGTTACAGCTCATTGTAAAATGAGAATGTTTCTAAATCTTAATTAAATAGATGCAGTACACTCTAGAATAAATCCAAACAACTTAAGAGGCAAAAATGTCAGCCTTCATCAATTCAAGAAGAATCTTTCGCATTTATTATACATTATATAAATCGTGTTGTTTTTAATGTTTGCAACGTTGTGTTTAAAGGCTGCAGAAACTGGAGAAAGATGTAGCATTGTTCTTTGTCATTTAGAAGTTATTTACGTTCTTTTGTTTTTATAGTATGCTCTTTGCAACGTTGTGTTTAAAAGGCTGCAGTAACTGGAGAAAGCTGTAGCATTGTCCTTTGTCATTTAGAAGTTGTTTACGTTCTTTTGTTGTTAAAGTATGCTCTTTGCAAAGTTAATTCAATAAAATAAAAAAGCCCAAAAGCTCAAAATTTATATAAATGATTTACAAAACTTTCAACTAAAACTGTTGCACAACTAATACTGAGTGCTTTCATGTGACATTAATGTGCGGATACCTACCAGATGATATGGGATCTGAGATGATAAAATCAACATAACTTTGCACTATTTTCTATCTGTGGAGTAAATTCAAGGTCTTCCAGCGGTTATAAGATGATTTTGAAACTTTATTCAGTAAATGTGAGTGTGAGAGAGTTTTTAGAATGTAGGCAATAGCGCCTTAGTTAACCTTACGTGTATTTAGGTGTATATTCAATATTCATTTAAGAAATTTTAAATACATAGCACTTGTATTTTAGTTGTGTGGATTTAGGCACGACATAATTGTTATGGTTACAGCGCATGAAATAAGATAAATATCAGAAAATGATGACAACTATGAATATTTTTCTATAAAACTAATTAAAACATTATTGTGTCCATAAACAAATTATTAGACAAAATGCTGTCAATCACTCAATCTCATGAAAATGTTATTTAATTCAACTATTTTATATTGATCAGCTACGTAATTAATGTGAGATAATAAAACACAAAAGATTCTACTTAAGGATTTATGCACAACTTCTGAGGGTCAGGTTTATACGATAAGGAACTCCCAAAAGCTCAAAACACCAATACCAGACTTTTGGTAATTATAATAATTTCAGAAATACAATTTTTATCGTATACGAGTTTATTATGTTGGATGAATGTAGAGCAAAATTTATGAGTGCAGCCAAGCATAAAAGTTAACTTTTAATGTCATATTTGCCTTCCGTCCAAAACAATTTACAGTAAAAATTAAATACATACATTGTATCAATGAATACCACAGGCTATAGTTTTACCAGAAATGGGGTGAAATATCATCTAAATACGTTGTAGAAACTGTTTTTCTTTATATCTATAAAATAAGATCTCTACAGTATCAATGATTTCTTAATACCTACTTTTTTACCCCAACAGGTTCTGTTGTATCTAAATTGTGTAATGATGTAGTTTGCTTTCATTAAAAAAGTTCTTGAGATTTGTTTCGTTTTTCAATTCTTCATTTGACCTGACAGCAGCATGTACCCGAACAGGGAGATTAGGAAATGTTCGGAGAAAATACGCCCTGCAATCGCCAATCTTATATAATAGTTCTGGTTTTCGTTTTCGCTTTGTTAGATCCTTCCAATGCTGGTCAATATTTCGAATAAGTCTTAAGCATTCTGTCCATGAAGAGTTATAGGTCCATTTATTCACAAAAAAATCATAAACATCACTATCCATTTGGCTTTTCCAATCTGAGGATTCGCTATTCAATTGTTGAACGACACTACACTGGGGATCATTTGTCTTAATCTGCTGAAGATTTCCAACTTTACATAATAAGTCGAATTTCTCGTCATTGGACATAAGAAATGGATGTTTTAACGCCTCGTTAGCCGATGGTCTGTTTTTAGGTTTTAGATTTAACATCCACGACAGAAGGGCCTTTAGTGTTTCATCGTCGATTTCATCCAAACCAACAGGGTTTCCCTTCAGCATGTTGTCCAGTCTATACCGTTGACTTCCAAAAGGATGTTTTCCTTGTGTTCTTACATAATAAGCTACCATCCCTGCGTTCTAAAATAATAAAAAGCGTTGCATAAAAATGCAATTTCACGGCATTGAGTTTCTTCAAAACTTACAAATGTTTGCATTCCTACACTTACATATACATCAGAGCTTCTTTTGTAACGTCCTTTATCAACAGAATCTTCCTTTTCACAATATGATTCAGGAGCAATCCAATATTCCGTTCCTTTGTTAGCACTGCTTTCATGTGTCGTAGAATCATTCTTCAATATTCGACTAATGCCAAAGTCAGCTATAAGAAAGTTGTCTTGTGAGTCTCGGAGAACATTGGAGGGCTTTAAGTCCCGATGAAGAATAGGATCTGGGCCACTATGAAGATCGGCTAATCCTTGCAAAATTTGTCTGAGGATTTTGGGAAGAACTTCTTTTGGATTTTCAAAAGTAGAAGATTTCACATAACTCTCCAACGACTCTTCACATAAGTCTAATATTAAATAGACATACTCCGTTCGAGTATCATCTTCTAAGAAGGAATAATTCACAACATATTTCGATTTTTTTGCGTTGGATTGATTTAAAATTTCCTTTTCCTGCAGAGCAAGCTCGTTGTATCTATCTCGATGTATTCGTTTCACTGCTTTACCGTAACCATCCGTACCCAGTCCAAGATAAACACGGGTTGCACCACTTCCTTCGCCAATGCAAAACTCTTTTGAGAAAATTACTCGTACATTGCCCACCACTTTAACCTCAACACTGGAATTGCGTCCATATTCAATCAATTTTAAAACATTTTTATGTTTCGTTGATTCATCAATGTATTTCCACTCTTGCAACACTAATTCTAAAAAATTAGATAAAACATTATATTCAAGGGAGAAGAAACGAAATTAATACGTCAAAATAGCTTAAACTTTCCCAATCAGGAAAGGATATTATTAGCTACCGTACATTTTGAAAAACTTATCAACAACCATTAGACAAATCATAAGTTCTTTAATTGTAAAATCAAATCTGGCAACATTTGAGGTTAGCCTATACCATACAATTAATCACAAAAACTTCTTTCTGCAGTAATTTCATATATTTTTTTAGGAAATAACCTTATGTTTTTCGAAAATATTAAATTTAAATTTTGAGAGCATATTTTTTAGAGTCTGAAATTTTTTTTATAGCAGAAGATAACAAAATAGCTTCATTTAATTTTTCTCTCCATTATCGACACTCATAATTTAGATAGACTATCTTATGTTTGATGCCAAATATGAACGTTGAAGTTCGATCAGCAGCGAAAACTCAACAATTATTCTCTCAAACCTTGTTTGAACATCATTAAAGTGCCAATGTAACGAAAACTTTGCTAGTTAAATTATATTTACTTTGACAAGAACTTTTGAAATGAATGCTTTAAAAACCTTTTATGTATGACTCTTTCATTCTAAAATTACTGAAGCGAAGTCCTTGCTATTACCAATTTATCTAACTTGTGACATCATATTGCATGAAAAATGAGTCGTTGCCATGTTTTAAATACACTTCATTTTCCTGACAACTTTACTTTGATAATAGTAGGCAGTATTTTATATCATTAACACATCACAAAGAAAAAACTCTGCAAAGTTGAAGTAAAGTATCAGCAAATGTACCGAATAATTCTAGTTCTCATTATGCAATGTGATATCACAAGTTAGATGAATCGAACATAATAAAACTTCAATATCTTGAGAACGAAAAGAGATACGCATAAACTAGTAGAGAAATCCGTTGTCATATTAAAATTTCTGTTCAATAAAAGTTTAACACAGGCTGCAAAATTTTCGTTTTATAGGCATTTTAGGCTTTAACTCTAAATTATCTGACACGTAGTGTTTCTCTTATTCAATTTGGTAAAGTGAACCTCGTTATCTTTCTTTCTGCAAACTCAAGTCATACCTCCTGTTTTTCTTATTCTCGTGCAACATTGCTGGTATTGTTTTACCTTTGCCAAATTGAAGATGGTTTTGCAGTTTTCAATTATTTTATTAAGCATATGATGGTTTATTTACAAGAAACAATTTGTCTGTCTTGTGTCTATTGTGTCAGGATTTTCGTTATCGACAAAATTTCGTTTTGATGAAATTTTACTCAGGAAAAGGAATCATGCAATTCAATAAATATTTAACACCACAAAAAGTAAGCGATTTAAATTCTTATCATATCTTTCAGCCTTTTTTATAAAATTCTTGTCTGTTCTAGAAACATGTGAAAGTAGTCATGAGGTTGTAGTGTTAAAGTATAATATAATTGACAAGATAAGCAACACGAACGATGCAAGAAAATGGTTGAACTTCCGGCTTCAAATGTTGTAACATCTTTGGCTACCAATCACGTTTTACTAATTTGAAAAATTTTCTGGTATAAAAGAACACTCCTTTGGAGATCTCTTATAAATAAAGTTAAAGAGAGAAATTGAGCAAATAAATTCCATGTTTCCACAAAAAATTTTCATATCAATTTTATACCTATACATCTGCCTGTCTATTTATTGGTCTATTTTTTTATATATAGTTGTATTATGTTTAATGTAGAGTACGTTGGCTTTCACAAGAAATCAGTCGATCATATTTGTAGATATGAATATCCCCCTCTCTCACCCATTTAACGTTCTAGTTTCGGTTCTCTATACAGCGGTCTGTGCTACAATGTCTGAGGAAACATGATACAGCCATTGAGTTCTGTAGGCGATATTTCACCAGCAGCGCTAATAAACACTCCCTTCACCCCACTAAAAGTTATAGTTTCGGCCCTCTATAGAGTGGTTCGTGCTACAATATCTGAGAAAACATGATACACCCATTGAGTTTTAAGCGATAATATAGCAGCAGCGTTATTAAACACTCCCTCCAAACCCCATTAAAAGTTCCAGTTTCGGTCCTATATATAGTGATCTGCGCTACAATATCTAAGAAAACATGATACAGACATTGAAGTCTGTGAGCGATATTTTATCAGTAGCGTTTTTTAAAAATTATTTCCCTCACGCCACTAAAAGCTCTAGTTTCGGTCCTCTATATAGTGGTCCGTGCTACAATATCTAAGAAAACATAATACAGCCAATGAGTTCTGTAAGGATATTTCAGCAACAGCTTTATTAAACACCCCCTCCCCCATCCAACTAAAATTTATAGTTTCGGTCCTCTATATAGTGGTCCGTGATACAATATCTAAGAAAACATAATACAGCTAATGAGTTCTGTAAGCGATATTTTAGCAACAGCTTTTTTAAACACCCCCTCCCCCATCCAACTAAAATTTATAGTTTCGTTCCTCTATACAGTGGTCCGTACTACAATATCTGAGAAAGCCTGATACAGCCATTGAGTTCTGTAAGCGATGTTTCAGCAGCAGCGCTATTAAACACCCCCTCCCTCTAAAAGTTATAGTTTTGGCCCTCCATACAGTGGTCCGTGCAACAATATCTGAGAAAACATGACACAGCCATTATGTTTGCTCAATCAGGAGGCTTAAGTCGTAAGTGGATTGGTCTGATTTACGTGCACCTTTTAATGGAGGTCATCGAGCAAGTTTACAATCATCAATTAAGACACAATTTGAATTATAAATGAGATTTTTGGACTTACTTGCTCTTCTAATATAGTCGAAATAATTATATTTATTCATTTGAGATCAGTGGGAGTAATTTATACAAATCAATGAATAAAGTCGTTGTTTTTATATTTTGCGATTAGTAACGTTATTTGCTTATCTATTTTGGGAAATTTTTTCGTAGAAAAAACTGATACAGCAACTTTTATGCTTTAAGCAACTTTGAAAATGCAATTCTGAGTAAAAAGTATTCAAAATTTAATGCTAAGCTAGAAAATGATCTTTGTGGACTTTTGAATGATGTTCACACTGAAGAGGTAATCTCCAGAATACTTAGCAAAGAGAGATCTCAAAATAACTTGTAATTTTCTGTAAATTCAGAATTTAGAAGATCGTTTAACAAATATGAATTTAATGCTACAATACTCATAATGAAAATTGTAAATAGCCTTCATTTTATTGTGGAACTTTGACAATTTACCTTGTCAAATTTGCTCATTTTTCATATGATTTTGAGGTATTTTTATTACAATGAAAAGGAATTCTTATTTATTGAAGTATATCGAGCAAGTCCATTGGATGGTGGCCGTTCTTTGCCTAATTTTCAATGTCATTAGCTAGGTAATGTATGCATGGTGGTGCAAACGTGAAGTATGACAGTATATCCAAAAGATAGTTTGTTGAGAAGTTTCTATGATTAGACAAGCAGAATATAAATAAACGTTACTTTAAAAAAATAGATTGCATGATGTCATTATCACCTCATGTTGCATCTTAATTTCAAATGACTGATAATGTGCTTGAAATACAAATTGTGAAGTGACAATATTTTACTGTCATGCTTAAAACATATAAAACCAGCTGCAAATGTTACCATTCAGTGTTGCTATGACATGTAATGAAAAAATTCATATATCCTATAACATTTGTTAATGTAAAAGAATGATTGAAGACTGTATTTGTAATCAAACACGTAATCCTTTTTTTTGAATGGAACTTATGAAGTGCAGTCAATTTGACCACTTTATAAAAAGAGTTGCGCCACTTTGCTTCTGCGCAGCATTTATTGAGATGAACAAAGACTTGTCAAGTTGTGCTGAGCACTGCCGTCTGGTACAAAGTACATTTAGTTTATTGGTCGTTCGCAAAAGGAAAATTTAACCCATTGATACAGTATTCAACATACGTAATAAACAAACGTTTGAAGTCCGAAAGTGCAACACTGTATACGTATATTATGCACATTATTAAATAATATAAATCTTCATAAAAACACATAATACCAATCAAATGACTTGAATTGTGATACAATTCAAAACAAATATGCTTAGGTTACGCAATATATATAAAATAAATTAGAATTGAAAGGCATACCTTGTTTTGTATTTTCAACACCAGAAAAACTTCCGACATCTTTAGCATTAGCAGCATCACCACTTGTGATTTCTACGAACAATATTTTA